TGAGAGAGAGAAGGCGAGAAGGGGAAACACCGACTGGGACTTTGTTTCTTGTGTGTTCCCAGGTTGTTGTTTTTGCCTCTCCATACCCTTTTTTTTCCTCTAATTGGACTCCCCCTGTTGAATATGAGATGTTTCTTTTTAACGCATACCATGGTTTGCTTATGTTGCTGTCTTGGCAGAGCTGGGTGAAGGGATACCCTTGCGTCTTCTATCTCTTTTTTTCAATCGGGTGTAATTTCTCCCTTTCACCCGCCGGTCAACCAAACTGGTAGTTCTGGGTTCGCACTCTGCACTCCCCAGCCGGGGAGGAAGGCAGGGATAATTCAAAACACTCTATAAACGAAAAGGACGATAGAAAGCAAGAAACCGGATGGGACCTCGTGCGGCAAGCTAACCCAAAAAAAAAAAGAGAAAAGTCTACGCTGAGGGTACATAGAACCTACCCGTCAAGCAAACAAAACGTATCAACGGAAGTAGTTGGTTCACCAGTGAGCTACACAGAGAGAGAAAGAGAGAGAGAGAAAGCGTCCATCCGGAATGCCGTTTCGTGGAACGAGATACTTTGTCTCATCAAGGTACAAACTACACCGCATCTGTCTATCAAGCATCTGGGAGAACCATCCCACCGCCCACTCCATGATATCTGACACGCTTCCAGCTCGTTTCAAATATCAATCCCGTTACGAATGCTAGGCTTTTCGTAGCCCTCCCTTTCCCCCTTTGGGTTAATGATTGATTGAATTGAATTGAACTGATTGGTTTGCTTTATCATACCAAGAAATGCAAGTACAAATACAAATACACCCCTTCTGTTGGGTGAATATATTTGCAAGGCCTATTTCGGTGATGTGACTCCTTGCCAATAATGAGTGCTGTGTTCCCAGCCCAACTGGCCGCGGTCTCATGTACACATACACATATATGGCCCCGTCTACTCAAAACCCATCATCATTGATCGTTCACTACTCAGATGATGGGTTTTTCACCGGGTTTTAGTTTTGCGACTGTTTTCACGTTCTACGGAATTCTTGTGACACGTTTTGCTGTTATTTTTGGTATTTTTTTCTTCTGCGGCTGTTTTCTTCCCTGGAAACTGTCATAATACCTCTCTCTCTAATGTGTTCGCACCCATCAAAGACGCACCTCTTTTTTCCTCAACCACCCCCAAAGCAAGTTCAATCAATTCAATCAAACACTAATGTGATTGTATAGTAGGTATAGGAGACTTGCTGACGCCTGGCAGGTGCTGGACAGGTAATGGCCGCTAGCTGCTGGGTTTGATGGTCTGTTTGGTATGTATATTTGCCGTGTTGGATAGACAAGTGGGAAACGACATACACAGCTGATCAATATGCGTATGTTCAGATCACTTCTATTTTATAGCTATAATATTTGAATTGGGTGTATGTATGGCTTTCTCCGACATTTTGCTCTCCTGTTCTCTCAGGATCTTGTTTGTTGACTGTCTGAGTATTTGATATTCGCAACTATTTACACAGCCGGCATCTCTACTCGCCCTTCAATCTAATTTCGTCTATTTGCTTACCTACTTTCTTACTTGCCTGTTACACATGCTTTCTCTTGCTCAGTCTCTCCTTCGCATCTCTCGTAATGGAAAGCAGAAACAATCAGGAAACGCGGCGGGAAGGCCACGGAATCCATAAGCTATCCATGGATGCAATGATCATCTCCACATTATTCTAACACTGCTTTGCCCTACGGGCACGTTTGCTACTCCTACTCGTAGCAAAGTCCCGCTGTCGTTTGCGCTGTTTCTTTCGCATGGACCTACCTACCACCATCTGCGTTCCAGCTTCCCACCGAATGCCCTATAAAAGGAGACACGACGTCTCCTCAAATCCCCTCCATTTCTTTACATTCTCCATTCTTCCATCACGCCCTTCTCATTGCTTGTATCCCTCAGACTCATATAAGGGGCCCGAAACACAGCCCCAGAAGACATTATATATTATATATGGGCAAATCCTACCTTTCCACATCCAATATGGTGGACCATGGGCTTTCTACTTGAAGGCAGTCATTTCTACCTCCGCGTGGACCCGCGATGAAGCTCCCAGCCAGCTTAGCCGTTCGCTCCTGGAGATGTCCGTCATACACGCTTCCTTTTTCCTCATGCATCCTTCAACAATATAATGGCTCTCCGTCCAGATCTACAGGCGGGTATGCAGCAATTTTGTCTACGGCAGCAATGACGACGGTGATCACCCAGAGGACCGAAGGATAATGCGGATACCGATTGCAGCATGACAACACGGTATCTTACTTCGCTCTCTCTCCCTCGTGTTGCAGGCTGTCTAGTCTTCGTGGGATGCACGTTCTACCTCGTTTTGCTCTCCTGCTGTGTTTGGGCCGGTTGGCGTCGGGCACAGACAAAAAGCGCACGCCCAGCCCATATATACGTTTTCGCCGTTTCTTGGTTTCTTAGATGTCATTTCTTGCAACACTGGGCAGAAGTACGGAAAGAGATTTGTTGATCTGGTTTCAAAATTGCTCTGAGGTTGCTGTTCGTGTTCACTTTGTTTTGGTTCCCACATTCCCCATTTTTGCATGTTTTGCCGTTGCTTATATACCCTCCCCTATGATCGATTTTTCGGGGCCGAGTACTTCTGCCGTAACTGCTAGCCCCTTTCCCGCACCAGCCCTTGTTAAGTTATATACATTACTCTCGTTCTCATGTGGGCCTTTCCCTCACAAGCCCCCGTTTTTTCCTTTCTTTTATTCCCCCCCTCCTAGGATAAGACAACTTGCGGCCCTTCCATTCCCACTGAAATTAACTGCATGGAGTCCAAAGTCGCCCAACTACTGGTCGGTTCACCCACCAGGTATAATTTACACTACTCCAACACTGTGCAAGGATGCGATATACACAACTGATGTATTTGCCTGCTACGTTACCCGTGATTGGTAGTTTGGGATGGCGAGTCAACGCCCGGATAACCCCCTCGATATATAAAGTAACAACGCGATAGGGCAAGCCGGTACGTAACGCGGAGAAAGAGGAGTAATCAGTTCTTCCTGAAAACGTATTGATTCTCTCCTCGTTCTTTGAATGGCTCGAGCCTGGATTTTTTGGGCACCGGAACCGCCTTGGTGGGCGAAATTTATTTCAGATTTTCGATCAATCCGGCTTGTCAAACTTTCCCAATGAGGTGGATTGAAAATGGGCATTATTGGATTCAACCAACCAGTCTATCTAGGGAACGTTCTCGAAATATAGCGATTTACATTTTATTCGAATTGTACACATGTACCACTCCTGCAAGTGGGGAAAAAGAGGATGCTTAGCATATACCGTTAATGCCGAAGGGGAGAATCCACTGGCAGATATACAGGGGAAGAAGGAAGGCAGTGATGCTCGGGCCGCGAGGATGTGCAGAGCAATGATCTGCGTGCCCGGAATTTCCCTCGCTATATATAAACTCGTGCTAGGGGGAGGCATCATTGACACAATACAAATAAGGGTCGGGTTCGGGGAAATTGGCGAAGCGAAAGAAGCAGGAAACTCCCGCAACGCAAGCATTGTCACAACAGACGAAGGGGGACAAACTGACAGGACAAACCCGATGTGTACTATCGGGAACTATCCGTCGCTGCCGCCTTCAAAACTATACATATATATAATATGCCATTTTCCTAACGGCAATCCTCCTTCTCCAACTCGTCGTTTACTCTCAGAAACATAGCTATACATCTGACAATATCCACCAAAATTCGGCGAAACCAGACCTATACTATAACGAATCCCACTCCCAAAAGTTATATATATATACGATTATATACGATAGCATCGTCCCTCCATTATCTTGTTTGTGTTGTTCCTTTTTTGATATCCCAAGCTCAAGCTCAGGCTCAGAAGGCCGGTTCTAGTTGAGCTGCGATTTTCATAGTTTGGTCTCCTCCGGCCCCAACCCGTTGGAATCGAACAATTCACTGCCTTCGAGTGTGAAGTTGTTTCCTACTTACTAAACTGCGCACAATCGAGTCCGTATAAATACATGCAACCCCTACCACTTCATTCTATCAACAACTTAGAAAACCACAAACAACCTTCAACAAACATAAAAAGAAGAAAAACGGAAATCCAAACACTAAACCACTGACTGATACTCAAATCAAGAGAACACAATCGAAACCAATATCTCTCATATCCCGTTGAAAAAACTGATTGCCTCAAAATACTATCCTCATTTATACAAATAAAAATATACCAAAAAAGAAACATCAAAATGTGCCACCAAAAAATGCGTCATCATAGCTGCGGCCACGTCGGCCCCGGCAACTTCACCCGATGCCACCGATACGGTTCAAAACAATTCCCTTGCAAAGTTCACACCATCCATATCCAGTGGCCCTCCCCGTGTCCAAACTGTCGCAGGGCATCATAAAAAAGCTGCCAGGTGTTCCTACATACTTGTAGCTCTGCAGTGGCTATGAGGCCTGCGTGGTCTACATTTTGCGGAAGGTTTTTTTGGAGGCTACGCGCTACTTCTTTGCTTGCTTTTCTTTTTGCTCTTTTCCTTTTTTTTTATTTTTTTTTTTATTTTTATTTTTTATTTTTATTAATCCTTTACTTCTCTGTTTCTTTCACCTTCACCTTTCCTTTCCCAGGTGACTATTCGTGTCAGCCAGTTCGCTTGTCTTTTTTTGCTTTGTTGTGTTTACCAGCATCTGCATGTGTGTCTGAGTGAACTTTATGACTATGATTTCTACTATGATTGGAATTCTTTTCTTTTAACTTGTGCAATGTGAACCTAAGTTCATTTCCCTCCTTTTTCTTGTCGTACGCTCTAAGTTTCCTTGATGAGGTAATTGACCTTCTGGCCCCCTCTGTTTCGACCTCACAAAGTTAATAATGAAAACAATAAGGCCATATGTCAAACTTGCGACTACTCACCTTTCCTGAATATATCTACAAATCGTAAAATGAAGTAGTAATGTAAAACCAAAGTGTTATCTATGAATTTGCAGCCTATTTATAAATAGTCCCACTAGAGCCTCTGTGAAAGATCTCATCTGACACATGAACGGGGCTAGTTAAAAGTTCAAGTGTAGTTGAAAGGAGAAACATCTAAGATCCCAGGTCGCTGGATGATATGAGTATAAGGAGTATATGTGTATATCTAGGCACACATGTGTGTATGTATGTATTTATTGCAAGAAATTATCTTGGGGGTATTCAAAGTAAGATTGATACGCGGGCATGCAAAGTCTAGAAAAAAGACAAGAAAAAAAAAAGGAAGTAAATCTTGGAAATAAACCACAAAGTAAGTAGCTAGCTGCCTGCTTGAAACGCCATCCTATAGTCATCTTCTAGTGTGATGACGATGCAACAGGACGAGGAAAAAGGTATACCCGAAGTAGAAACGCAGACGCAGAGAAAACAGCGGCAATGCTCAAGGCCAAGGTCAGAAGTATCAAGTAAAGCAAATAATGTCCAAGAACGCCTGGCGGGTGTGGTTCTTGGTCATCTTGTTAGTTATAAAGTACCCAGTAAACCGCAATAAAGTATGAAAATTCAGAATCAGAACGCGCCAAGGGGGAAAGGAATCGGGCTTCTAAAAAAACGGAACAGAGCGGGAAAACAGCAAAAGTAAAGAAATCAAGGTCTCTAGACAGTAGCATGGAAGATGTCAAACCGCACCATATCTATCCTGCTCATCTATCATAAGCGCCTCCGTTTCTGGAGATTGGTATTTCGGTTCGGGAGGAGCGGATGGAATCCAGCCTTTGATCCACACGCTAACCCTTCGCCATCTACCTGGTCCTGCAGGTTGTAGTTTGATGGCGACATCGACATCGGCATCTTCATTCTTCTTCTTGTAGATCATGAACTGAATGCCCATTGCCCCATCCATGCCCAAGACCCCGAACGCCCCCAGGAAAAATGGTATCGCACGGCCAATCCATTCTAGTCTGTTGTTGCCTTCTTCGCCAACCCATCCACCACCTCCGTAGGCGGGTAGATCTAACCATGCGTTTGGATTGGTGAGGAGTGAGGTTGAGTAGAAGAAGTTACCGCAGAAGGCTGCAAAGAAGAGAAGTGGTGAGAGGCCTGAGGTGCTTTTGCGGCCGTAGTTCTTGTAGAGTTGTGGGATACGGGATACTAAGTATAAAAGAGTCGACGACCAGGATGCAATTCTGCCGGCTATTTGTCTAGCATCTGCTTGGGACTGTGAGAATATGGGGCGGTTCAGCTCCGCGGGGTTAGTAGCTGCTGCATTGGCAAGAACGGCACATAGCATGGAGAGAAACAAGATAGTTCGAGGGGAACTGGAGGGTGTGGCGCTGCTGCTGCCTCCAACACGGTAGATGGTTCGGGAAGGTGAGCGTTGTTTCTCATTGGGGCGCGACAGAGAGCCGCCCAATGGAGAATCAACTTCCAAACCCTTGTTCGAGGCGGCAATTTTTGGTTCTGAAGGCTGCATCGAGCCAGGGGACAATCCCAGAATTGTATTCTCCCCAGTGGGTATAATACCATCGTACATATCTCCATCGTCATACCCCAGATCTCCAGTATACGTATAACCACGTCTTCGTATTTGCCATTCCTTGAGATATGTATAGAAGTAGTACTGGATTACCAACGCTACGTCAACTAAGACATAGTAGGCAGCAACAGTAATCTGCCACCCCGCCTGATATAATAATATGGCTCCTAGTAGGTTGGTTGAATCGCCCAGACACCATTCAATCAGGAACCATATCGAGAGGCCGGAAGTCGACTGGAGTTTATAGTTCTTGTATATCTGCGGCAGCTGCGCAAAGAGCCAGGAAACGATGCTCAGGGTTCCCAAGGTAGAGGAGATCAGGGCGAGCGGAGTCGGAATACATGTATGTAGATGAGAAGAGATAAAGGTTAAGAAGGGAGAGGAGGGTTCGCAATGGTCTGGAAGAGAGGCAACGAAAGGGTTATAAATCCATGCTGAAGTCATTATCCGGCGCGCAGTTCGGTCTTCTATTGTAGCCCTGACTGTAATAACGAAGCATCCCTTGGCCAAAAACGCATGAACGGAGATAGAAGAATATATATAGAGAGAGAGTTGATATATATGCACAGAATGATTTCTTGAGAGCGCAGCGCGGAGTTGCTGACCGGAGATCCGCGTGGGGTTCGGTTGAGTGCTGACAAGGCTGGCAAAGAGTCACGCGAGGAGCGCGGGACACGCTGACAACACCCGAAACGTGTAAGGCAGAAGAAGATGAACTGGAGGAGAACGGGGGTTCGAGCAAGGTTGATGGAAGCTGTTTCACGGGCAACTGGGGGTTTTGTCTTGAGGGATTATACGGTCGTAGAGGGGAAAGTCGGAATAGGCCACTAAAATGTGTGTGACTGGTTCGGGATATCGGAATGTTACGTTGGGAGAAGGAGGAGAGCCAATTAGGGCATCTGCCTATGCAGGTGTGACAAATTACTGAAAAGGGAGAGGAGAAAACAAAGGAACGAAGAAAGAAATGAAAGATAGAGATAGTCTATGAAGAGGAGAGAGTGGACAGAGAGCACAACGCTGGATAAGGGAAAGTCAAAGGAAAAGGGCGAGAAAAGAAAACCAGACGACGGCGATGAGCAGGAAGACAGATGAGAAGATGCAGGTGACGATGGAGAGGCTGATAAGCGGAGAGCGGGGCGCTGTGATTGGTGGAAACGGTGGATCTAGGTGGGGCTCAGCCAGCCAAATAAACTCAAACTCTAATTGGGGTATGGGGTAGTGTAGTCCGAGTCTGGAATGGTAAACAATCAACCTTATTCCTTCGATGGAAGATTGGAATAAGATATGCTATGATAATAGTTATGTATATATAATATAATAGCATGATGTCAGAAACAAATTCATTCCTAGATATATACAGAGTTCATGTTCATGCTCTTCTATGAATATCTGTAAGCTAACATCCAGTCACATCTTTCATGTGAAGAACACTTCAAGAGAAGAGATTGAGTACACAAAAGGCTTGAAACAATGAAGGACCAAGAATAATACAAATATATAAACACAAAATAATAAATAGAGTGGAACAAAAGTCAGCTAAATACAATTTTAGAAGAGATCTTTGACCAGCTATTTGGTCTTTTCATCACATCTGAAGAACACTGCTACTACTCTTTAGAAAGCACTTAGTGACAATATGTAAAATGAGCCAACTAGATCATATATTCATACTAGATAAAGAGATGAGGAGTGAGCTGTGGACCTGTACGCGCAGTTGATATAAAATAAGATTAGTCGTGTTTCACCTATTTATGTCTCTCGAGTTCATGCCCGTTTCTTCGTGTTTGACAGATATATATATATATATAGCAATGACAGACGCGTATGTTACTACCATGCAAGGTGCATAGTGAACAGTACGGCTGCTCCGGCAACACCAATTGCCAGCTTTCGAGGTTGGCTCATCGAAGCCGCCTGGTTGGGTGCAATGATATCAAATGCATTCCCAAATCCTCCAAAGGGGTCATCATTCGGGTCGGTGGTTTTAGTAGTGGTAGCAGATGGTTCTGAGGTCGTAGTCGATGTGGGATCGGATGCCGTTGCTGAGGGTGGTAGGGATGGGATGACGTATGAATCACTTGTGGTAGAAGTAGAGTGAGAAGGAGAAGTCGTAGAAGTGGTAGATGGAGCTAGTCTTCGTGTTGTTGTTGTTGCTGATGGCTCTTCTGTTTGTGCCTGCGTAGGTGGAAGGGCGACCGGTCTCTGTGACACGGAGGAATATCGAGTGGATTGGCTGGAGCGGGAACTCTCAATTTCCCCTGCCTGCTCCTCCTCCGCCCCTCAGCATTTGGACAGAGTGTCTGCACTCCTAGCCCCTGGAAAAATAATCCGATGAGAGACGTCGGAGATGCCCGCGTGCCCACGCAAGCTGCATTGAGCGAACGTGCCAGAGCTTCCAGACCCTCAACGCAGCCCGGAGAGCAGGAGCCTTCGTTTGCGAAATCGCGGACTGTGCAGTCACTAATCTCGGAGGTGTAGACTCTCGTACATGATGGAGGGAATGATATTATCGGTTGGATTTGGTCCAGCGAAATTGCTATGACTGTTGGCGCTCTGTAGGCGAGGACGAGATATGTTACCCAGCGCTGTTTACGCATGGTGCAACGCTAGGTGAAGGAGATGACAAATGTATTTTTTGTTTGCACAGCGGAGATGCTGCCCGCCCTTCTTGTTTTGCACTTCGTTGAACTTTCCCAGGTATCGCAAAAGAAAATGTCGCAATGGGGGATAGGAGGCCTTCGAAGCGGTTAATCGCGCATCCTCATAATCTAAACTAAGTGCCTCTCTTTAGTGCCCATGTGCAAGCCGAAAGTCGATATGTCAAAGAAAAATGCGCGCGATTTTTAGACGATGATAGGAAACTTTATCGTGTCGTCTTTGATAAATGCAGGGCCACGAATCGTATTAGTGTCGCAAACGGTATGGGTATCAAGGGATAAATAAAGAACAATGTTTCTGAATCTTCAACGGGAAGTTCTAAGAAGAAAGGTAAAAGCAATGCGCTCTGTTGATACAACAATATCGCTTCATGGGATAGAAAACTAGCACAATTACGAAGCTCAGTATGTGTCCTTAACTCACGAGAAGAAGAGGGGAAATGAAAAATCAGAGACAGCAGAGGGGAATTATCGAAGTCCTTGTCGCAAAGCTAGATCCATGGTGGACGACGGGCCTTATGACGAGGCACCGCCGCTCACTCACAGCCATATCTAATAAACTGCCACTGACACGACCAAAAGGTCCTTTAGGACCGGTCTACAGTGTGGTCATATAGCGATCACATAGGTGGGCAGATCCAAAGAGAAAGCCGAATCTCAAACACTCCACGTTTCTAAATTCCACGCGACAGGCTCGAGCCCTGGAAGGTCAGAGCCTATAGGACGACCGTTGCAATGATCAGCCTGTGACAGGATCTTTCGGGGTCAATTAACTAATGGACCAATATTCAGGATCCCGCCCCCAGCCTGGGCTTGCTTCGGGCGTGTCAACTTCGACAGGGATTATTTGACGATATGGACATCAGGGAGCTGTGAAAGTAGCCGAAGCCCAGAATCAAGAAACACTCTGTCTGTCGAATCCCGCCAAACAGCTGCCTCATCTTTGTTCGCGGATGGCAATTCTGAAACGTAGCGGGCCTGTAGTACAACAGTACGCTAAGTTAACGTTGGCCCCCGCCAGCGATGAGTTCGTTACGCGCCGGTCTTGGTCTGCAGCCTTGCCTTGGCGCCAATACCTGGGTTGATAACGAACGATAAAATACTCCCCGGTGTTGCGAAAACAGTTCAGGAAACGATCTCGGATTTCGTGAAGAAACCGTAGAGAGGGACTGCTGATTGCAATTGCGAGACAGAAGATAGGGCACTCACCTGATGCGGGATCTCAGAAAATGAAAATAGCTGTGTTAACTTTCCCCTTTACTCCGCTCTGTTTCTGCAATGACTTATAGTAGCCACGTTCTCTACTCTATATTCAGACATCTTGACTTCGCTATGGACCAGAGCTTGAACGATCTGGCGGAGGGTTTTCACATGGGGATCATTTAGGATATGCCAATTCAGATGGCATTGATGATTGATGAAAGCACGCTGTCTCCTGGGCGAATCCCTTGAGTCCAAACGCTTTTCAAACGCTACACAAAAAACCCTTCCACTCTCTCCTCTTAGGAATCGGGGGAATAGCCTTTGTATGAAGACGACATAGACATGTTGGGCATCAAATAATGAGTTATGGATCTACGCAGCAGGTCATACAATCATTACATTTCTTAATGGGAATATAACTGATATGCATCTCCTAGCATATTTGGATATTTCAGTCCATCACCAATATCGGTCTAAACCGCACTCTGGCATGTACCAAATCATCCATTGCCTTATTCACGTCATCCAGTTTGTATTTCTGAATCATGCACTTGACGTCATGGGTCCTTGCAAAATCGATGACCTCCTCCGCATCAAGAGCATGCCCTGTTAACCAGCCCGATACTGACAGCGCTCGACGGATCATTAAGGCCGAGTCCACTGTGAACTCTCCAATCGGCGATAAAACAAGCAACCTCCCACGCGGAGCTAACCCTTGCATCAACGGCTGAACGTATTTTGGAATTGGGGCGCTCAGTATCGCCATAGCCGCACCGCCTATCTCCTGCAGGGTCGTCGGGATATCACACTTGCTGCTGTTGATGAAATGATGCGCACCAAGTTCCCGGGCGAAGTTTTCTTTTTCGTGTTTGCTGGATATGACTGCTACTTTATATCCTAGTTTATTTGCGAACTGCACCGCAAGATGTCCTAGGCCACCAAGACCATGTATTGCGATGAGATCGCCCGCGGCGACTTCCATTTTCCGGATCCCGTTGAAGGTTGTCATGCCTGCGCAGAGGAGAGGGGCTATCTCTGCTGGATCCATGTCCTGTGGTAATCGAGCCACTGCCTCCACTCGAAGTATACAGTATTCGGCAACTGGAAACAGTTAGACAGACACTCCTGGTGATGGTTACAGTAAGTTGAATGGATCTTCGCTAGGGATGGACTTACATCCTCCAGGTCGTGTCACGCCATTGATCTTTTCATTGTCGCATAGCTGGAAATAGCCTCGATTACATTCCTTGCAAACGCCTAATAGGGGAAAAAATATATATATATAAATAAATAAAAGGAAAGAAAATTTTATTCAATCAACCTCTGATTTCTTTTTCTGCCATTAATTCATAGTGGGATGTGGGAAGACCTACCGTCATGACCACCATGCCATGGCCCTCCAACCCGCTCTCCGATTTTGAAATTCTTCACCCCGGGTCCAAGAGCTTGCACACTGCCAACTATTTCGTGACCGGGTATTATAGGACTGCGATACTCGTTAGATAGCGATCTTGAAAAATGGACCACGTCGCTTCCTGGGACCCTTGTAGATTTTTTCGAGCCACGAACAATGAGTTTCCAGCTTCCCCGTCCCTCACCAGTACGTCAGAGTGGCACACTCCACAGGCAAGCACTTTCACCAGAATTTCTCTGTGTTTTGGATACTCGAGTGGAATGGTTCTGATGGACAATTCTTCGCCCTTCGCTTCGAACCGAGCAACCTTGTATGATAATGGGAATTCAGGCTCCATCCTGTCTGTTGATTTGATATCAAAGGTTTTGCTTGGACAATCGTTGGATAGGAATTGAAGAGAGTTAAATAATTAGGAGTACATGCTATAAACGAGTAAAACAATATTGCCGTGAAAATTAAGTAGCGAAATTGTTTAAATAGAACCGAAAATGGTGTCTTATTCAGGGAATTATGGATATTTTTCAAAGTCGTTGAAATGGGGTGACACGGCTAGTTCTTGGTTGGCAAAAAGCCTTCATACCAATCGCCGTTCTTGCTCTAGAATGAGATAAGGCTGGAATCTATATCCATATTAAAATTAATTATAATAATTAATATTATTATTGTGAATTCCGAATTCCCTCCTTCTACTGAGTTGTCTCTGCCACTTATCAGAGAGCAGATCAAGCGATGCTATGACGTCATCACAAGAGAAGAATGTTCAATTTTTCTCAACAGTCAGACGGAGATTTGGATTTTCCACAGATAACTACTCATTTGGAACTAACGTGACTCACCACCCAACGAACTAATCCACTCAATGAACTGCTACTTTTTCCATGAATCCCTGCAACTCTTCAACTTCAACCACTCACTATGCCACTCAACAAAGTGATTATGGAAGCAAGCAATTGCTCAATTGAATCAACAATTGATTTCTAAATATGCTGCAGTTGTAAAGAAATTCAGAATTAATTACATTATCTTGATACAGCAGTTCAAAGATCAACAGATCTTCAAAATAGAGGTAATATTAACTTATTATCAGAATCTTATAAATACTGAAGAACAATATCTTCTATTTCATATTAATCAGTTATTTAATCACAGCTTCTCTGTGATATCTGTCTCAGTGATTAAATGATTAATGCAGTTATCTGATAGTATGATTCAAAGGTTGCTTAAGTCAGTGTACGATTACAGGCGTACGCCGGCTTCTTATATATGTTATACTAAATTAATTAGTGGCTGCTATGACCTCTTTACATTTATAAGCATGTTCAGAAGCAGTTGTGTTATTATTCAGTGATTATACATTCTTTCAAATCACATTCTCTCTCATCAGATTCAGTCATACTTATATAATTATGATATAAGCTCTAGCTTCATGTGAATTAGTATACTGCTAGTGTTTGTGATTATACAGTCTATCTCTGATCTGACTAGTATTCTTCTTTATAAGAATAAGTGCTCGCAGGCGATTATTCAGATGTTTGCAGCTTGATATGATATGTACTGTTAACTACTAGAAGTATTTATAATAGAAAGATAAAATATAAAGATTAAATGTATAATAGTATTCAAGCTGAGTTATAAATAGTATTCATGAACTTCAGTCTATATAGTTATATATAGTCAAGAGCTGCTAACTCTATTAATTATATAAAAGATAGAAATAGAGATAAAGAATCTATAAGAAGTAAGATTTCTTACATACTCTTTTCTCTCTAAGACTTTGTTTATAAAGTCTTTCACTGAATGATTCTATAGAATCAGGCTCAGTACTGCAGTGATACTCACTAAAAATTCTTCATATCTATATAAAAAAAAACCTCAGTGAGGAAAAATCTCTTATTATTACAAAGAAAAAAGAGTCTGTTACTTAGTTTCTTATTTCATGAGATTCTTTATAACCTGCAGATCTTTCTCTAACTGTTATACAAATTCATCTTATATCTTTCATACAGAAGAGTTCTGATTGACTCTTAACTATTTCTATAAGATTCTTATATAATCATTATACAGATTTATCTCACAGATGAATTACTTTCTATAAGATTATTCTTATTAAAGAGAAGTATTCATAAGTTAATCTTTCACTCTGTGACAGGCTGCGTCTGATCAATTATATAGACTATTTCATTACACTTCATAGATTTCTACTGTTCCGATTCTCAGTCGCTTCACAGATTTCTATCATTTCAATTCTCAGTCATCGATTCTCAGCTGAAAATCTATGAAATTCCTATTCTTCCACTCTGAAGCTTCACCGCGTACACCACTGTGTACATGTATAAATATTCACTCTGATTGCTGATGCTCACACTTTCTCTTTCTTTTCTTCTCTAATGTTTTTCTCTTTATTATATAAGACCTATCAATATTATACTGATATATTTAGTGTAGGCCTCTTACACTAGAAAAACATTCATTATCTTATTATTAGAAATGATTATTCATGCATTGTCTTCTCATTAGAAATGATTATTTATTAAGAGATATCTAAACATATAACAATATATAGAAAAGAGAAACAGTTAAGTGAATACTGAGTTCTTAGATAGAAGCTTACTCATCAGTTACTCTGACTCTGTAATAAGATTTTACAAGAGAATATCAGTGAAAGACCTGAGAGTTCTAACACTCAGATATATGAGATATTTATACAATTACACTTCTTCAGATTTCACAGATATCACATATCTGATAAATGATATAATCATGTCTAATGACAATATAAGAGAACTCTTGAATATGAGCATAGATGTAATATTACAGTGACTCTAAGCAATGTTGAAATTACAATAATAATAAATAGCTGATATGTATATAACTTAATAATATCAATATGAAGAGATTCAATAATTATTATAATAAGAAACTTATACAATTTCAACATCTATAGAATTAAATACAAAAGTGCTGAAAGAATGCTTAAATACTTCTGTATATTTTAATACTTCTGATCACACTCTCTACTCATTATAAAGAATGAAAATGCACATGAAGCTAAGTATAGATAAAGATGTTATTGATTCACTAATTAATCAAGATTGATATATTAATAAATAATTGAAGAATCACATGAAACAGAAGTTTCATTCATGAATAAAAGCATGTGAATCAGTGTTATAAAGATCTGATAATATTATCAAACATCTTGATATTCTGTTCTGAGACACTGTTATATAACAGAAAGTGTTAGATTAGTTACACAGTACTTAATAGAGAAATGCTTCTCTTATAACATTCATCTCTGACTTTAACATCAAGATTGTAGAAGCAGATAATCAATCTTGAGAGAATTAAATAAAGATTAGTATGCTTAAGAAGATATTAACTTTCAAACTCTTACAGACTCTTGTAAGTGTAGATGAAGATCAGACTTATGAAGGTTTCTGCACACAGCTCTGAACATTGAACAATCATCTTATCAAGCTCAAGAGTATACAGAATAGTGATAGAAGACATTACACTCACACATCTGTACTGAGAAATAACAACAATAATGCAGATGCTATGAACTGAGTAGACTTAAATATCTATGTATAAGCAAGAGTCTTCACTGTCTGAACTGACTTTTAAGTCTCTGAGATCACTTCTGAAGAAGTTGCTGATTAATGTTAATATAAAGTATGCATTAACTGTAATTAATCAGAACACATTGCTTTCAACTGTTGATCAGTCTATGTGTCTTATTCAAAGAATGAATCAGCTTCTGTTCATATCAATCACATTATATTAGAGAAGAATTCAGAAGATAACTATAAGAATACTTCAATGAAACAGGGAAAAGATTAGCTTCTGTTCAAATTCATAAGTAGAAGCTTGAAGAGATCAGATAATAATAATTTGAAGAGAAAATGATAATAAATGCAATTCTTATATCTACTGTAATAGATAATATGTATAATATGAAAGTTATGATAGACAGTGATCTATGTCATTATACAATGATTAAATCTTCAATTGTAAGATATTATAATCTTCAGTATATTTTCTTATCAAGACTCTGACTTCTCACAGAATTTGATGATTCAAAAGACATTCACACTTGTTAGATGATGAAACTAAATATAGATGTTAAAGAACATTAATATGAAGATATCTATGTATACAAAGTTGAGAATCTTAACTATGATCTCATACTAGAACTTGTCTGACTATCTGAATAAGAAATCTTATTAAATGCTTAAAACAGAAGCTTAATATTCTCTAATAATGATAGAATTCATGAAGATAATATTCACAAGACTATGAATCTTACACAGATCTCTGCCAATACTTATAAAATACTTTAAAAAAAAAGTCATCATTAAAATCACTGATAGAGTCACTGATAAAGTCACTGATAGCAGAATTATATATCAATCTATTTCATCAGTCTGACTGATATCAAGAAAGCTCTAGAAAAGTTATCTCATACTATAATAACAGATTCTCACACAAAACTTTCTCAATAATATCATGCATATCTAGATGTCTTCTGATAAGATAATATTATAAATATATTCTCTTTACAAGACTCAGAAGTGAATCACAGTATCAAGTTAGAAAAGAAGAATGATAAGAACTCTGAGTCACTGTGAGACTCTCTTTATAATATATCTCAAGATAAACTTCTTCTTCTTCAGAAGACACTCAATAATCTGTTAAATAAGAAATTTATACATATTAGCAACTCTTTCACTGCAGCTTCTATTCTCTTTACAAAGAAGTCAGATAAAGAACTCTGATTCTGTGTGAACTATCAAGATCTGAACAGATTGACAAAGAAAGATCATTATCTCTTATCTCTCATCAATGAAACTCTAGTATATATCAGACAAGCTCAATGATTTACAAAGCTAGATATTATTACTGTGTTTCATAAGATTCATATCACTGAAGAAGATAAATGACTTACAGCATTCTGAACATATTATAACCTCTTTGAATGAGTAGTTATACTCTTTGAACTGACTAATGCTCTCAGTACATTTCAGAAGTATATTAACTGAGTACTCTGAGATTTTCTTGATAAGTTTGTATCTGCTTATCTAGATAATATTCTCATCTTTATCAATGAATTTAGAAAAGAATATCAAGAGTATGTATGAAGAGTATTACAATAACTACAAGAAGCAGAACTATTAATTGATATTAATAAGTGTGATTTCAAAGTTAGAAGTACTAAATACTTAGATTTCATTATAGAAGCTGATAAGAGAATTTGAATGAATTCTGAGAAGATCTCTATAATTCTTGAATGAGAAGCTTTATATACTGTGAAAGATATATAAAGCTTCATTGAATTCACTAACTTCTATCAGTGATTTATACAAAACTTCTCAGATATTGTGAGATTACTTACAGAACTTACTAAGAAAGACTCAGTATTTCAATAATCAGTAGATACTGAAGCTGCATTTATACAGATGAAGAAGATGTTCATTAATACTTCTCTACTAATAATATTTAATTCTGATTATGAAATAGTTATTGAAGCTAATTTCTCTGACTATATCATAGAAGAAGCTATATTATAATATAATGATGAAAATGTCTTATAATCATGCATCTTCATATCTAAGAAACTGAGTTCTACTGAATGCAATTATAAGATCTATGATAAGAAACTTCTCACAATTATACACTATTTAGAAGAATGAGACTCTGAACTCTGAAGTGTCTTTAAATTTGAGATAAT